TGAAAGGAAAAGGAATAAGAGAGGTGATTCGAGAATTCATAATAAAGAATGATATGAAAAATCAACAGTGAAGGGAAAAGTTAAGTACCAGGGGGAGGTAGAGCAAGGGGTGCTGAGGCAGGAAGAAGAGTCTGTACAACCTCAGGTTGCTAAAAATCGAAAACAAATATCAGAAAAGGAAATGTATAAAAAGCCAAACAAACATTTATACATAATGATATGAGTAGTACCTCAGGAAGGGGTGTTAGTGATAAAAGTTGGGAATCGACATTTGTCGATATAGTCTCCGATGGATGATCCTGGAAAAATATCGAATTTTGAAGTCATGTTATAGGTCTTATTGAAATCTAAAAATATAAAGTGTAAAAAGGAAACTCACGTGACTTGAGCGAGTAGCAGGTGTTGTTTGGCCCGTTGTAGGGATCGTGTTAGAGTCCGTCGACAATGGATCAAGGGCAATTGGTTGGACGGATCGAGGACTCTTCGATTTTTGTTTCTAAAATTAGGAATCGAAAAGAAATAAGTATAAGAATGTGGATCAACCAGACAGAAAAATGAATAAAACAATGAGAAATCAAAAAGAACCTTCGATTTCTTCGAAGATGAGGAAATGGTGGCCGATTGTTTGCGTTTTCTGACGAAGGCCGATGGGTCCGACTCATCTGAGGACTCCCAGTCCTCTTGTTTCTTCTCCTGACCTTTCTCGACAACGATGGTCTTGGTGGACTTCGAAACTGTCAATAAAAGAGGACAGATTAGCTTACAATATACAGAATAAAAAAAAAGCATAAAAAAGCAGTAAAATCTCACCAAAAGGTGATGGAGTCAAAATCTTGACTCGATCGATATGTACAAGCCAGGAAGGTAGGAGAATTTGAGGGAGATGGAGGTAAGGGAAATAAGATAATTTCGATACAGAAATATTTTTGTTTTTAGATTTTGGGCGAAGTGTTTCCCTTAGGGTTTTCAATTCTCGAACCCATTTGGGATGAGTTAAAGGTTTGGCAAGTCCAAAAGGAGCAGTGGGAAAAGTGGGAAGGCGATTGGGGCAATACATTTCAAAAGGGGTTCTACCTAGAGGATCGATTATTTTGTGGTTCAATCGATTAGTGTTTGTTTTATTGGATAAGGAGATAACAACATCGTAATAGGTCGATTCTAATTTCAGTGGGTTGTAACATATTTAATAAAAATTCTCAAATCGAGATATTTGAAGACAATGGAAGTGTGTACCTTTCTTCGCCTTCGATTTATCCTGCAATACAAGAGAAGGATGAGTAGTCAATCTTTGTCGGACTTCGTCAAAAGTAACATGACTACTCGAGAACCAATTGGCCCACCATTGAGAAAAACCCACAGTCGATAAATAATTTGATTCAAAAACATAGGGGTAAAAATGCATCGGGGTTTTTGGCAAAAGCTTGGCAAGCTCCCGTCCGATTGTCGATTCAGTTAATTTGGACCTTGGGAAAATATCTAGGGGGAAGAAGGGTAAGGATTGGCTCAGACCAAATTGTCTCGAGAAAAGTTGAGGGTAGTAAATAATGAACTTGAAATCTTTGGACTGAAAACCCGATACTAGCACATCTTGAGTTAAATAGTTACTCCATACATCGACCAACTCTAATTGCAACCCAGGAATCGAGGCAGGGAATTTCGACTTAAACCAAATTGGCCCCCTAAGTTGGCCACTTACACATCCAAGATGTACAGTAAAAGGAGCTAGGGTTGAATTGAAATTAAATATGGTTAACAAAAAATTAAGGTATCTACAATAAGCCGCTTCATCGGGTTTGTGGTGAGGATGGCGAGAAGACAATCGGGCCCCTTCTATATTTACACTTGGGGGGATGGTAGAAGTTGGGGGGAGGATGCTCTCAAAAATCGAGTTTAGCCACAACTGTATAAACCAAATAGGGCCGGAAAAATTTCCCGAAGCTTTAGGAGTACTCAAAATTTCGACAGCCTCGTCGAAAGCAGTATATACATGTGCTAGCAAAAATTTGGCTAAACATACTCTAGGTTGGCCTAGATGAAGGAGATAAGCAAGGTCAAACAGGTGGGAGGAAATTTGGATCGATCGGGGGCAGAAAACATGGGTACACAACCAGTACACCAAAAAGGCTATGTGCTCTTCATCAGTCACAGCTATTGATTCGTCATCGACGAAATGCTTCTCGAGGAAATTCCCATAAGCTTTCGATTCCCAATCGATTTTGGATCTTAGAGAATTGTCCGAGGGACATGCACCCTTAAAATATCTTTCCCCTATAGGTTCTAATCCGGTAATGGCCGCTACTTCAAAAAGGGTGGGCGAGAGGGGACCGCAAGGTAATTCCAGGGCATGTATTTCCTTATTCCACAAGTGAACGGCAGCCAAAAACATAGCCATGTCCAAATGAGATAAATCACATTGGGACAGGTGCAAAAAATCGAAAATTCCCACGCTTCTCCAATGATTCCCGAATTTAGCTTTAACCCTATCGAACCATCTAATGTACAAAGGTTTTTTGGAAGGAGGGCCCGTCCGATACACCTTAGAGACAAGATTCAAAAAATCAACCCTAACTTCAGGTTGGTGTACAAGAGCTGGACTATTCGGGAGGTTGAGGGGAGAAAAAGTTCCATCAATAGAACGAAGAGGACCCCCAAAAGCGTAATTAACACCATCAGTAGTGTAAGGAATAAGTACCTGCGTTTCAGCAATTTTACGAGAAGCTTCCTCCATCAGAGGGACCGGAGCGAACTTCTGATTGTTAATCTCCAGCAGGTTAGATGCCAATGAGGGAAGAGGTGGAGCGGAAAAGTCAGAAGATTTGGAGGAAGTTGTCATTTCAGTAACTGGTAAAGTGAAGAAAAGCAAGGTAAGAGGTGAAGGCGCAGAGATGAAGACAAGAGCTCAAGGAAGAAGATGAAGTTGCAAAGGGTAAAAGTTCACGTAAAAACCAGAGAAAGACCGATGGAGAGGTTAAGGGGAAAATCACCTAGGGAGCTGGAAACGACGGAGGTGAAAGGTAATTAATGTAGCGTGTACAGTAAGGCATCAGACTGACGCGATGACGACATAAAGCAAAAGGAAACTTGAAAACCCTAGAACCCCAAAAACCATAAACCCTAAGTTTTGTGGGCCTCCAACAAGCAAAGGCGGGAATCGTGTTGAAAGAATATAAACAGAAACTATTTATATTCTTCCAAGGGGGCATTTTGTTAGTAGGAAATCGAGAAAAGCGATCAACAAAATGAAGGAAAGAAAAATCGAGAAACATGTGATTGATCGGTAAAGCGAAGAGGTGAATGAGAAACCATTCGATGTCCAATTAGAAGGGCGTGGCACACAAAATCGAAAGTTAGAGTTGGAATCGAAGGAATAATAGTCAAAAGTTTATTGTGGAACAAACCAAAAAATTAGAAGTATATGATGCTAAGGTTAAAAGGAATCAAAAGTAATTCAAAGTTCTCGATAAAATCGAAATCGAGGGGAAGGGTAACCTACGTGGATATCGAAACCCTGGCCAAATTGTGAAGGGAAGAACAGTCAAGCGCACATATGGAAAGCAGTTTCTAAACCATGGTAGAAGTCAAAGATCGTGAGACCGTGGGTACAGTATTGAAACCATAGAAGATAAACTGCAACATGCACGTAGAACGTGGTAGCAGTTTTGTTAACTGCTCTTGGAAGGCTTGAATGATGCCCTATAAATAGAGCAGAGGAGGAAGGAATAAGGGGCAAAAAATTGGCAGAGAACAGAATCAGTAGTGAGAAATCTACCGGAGAAACGACGAACATCATGAAGCTTCTGGCAATCTGGATTTCCATGCTCATCGAGTACCTTTACCGCTTTCTTTACTTTCCTTGGTAATTTATTTTGATGCACCTTATGTTCAACAATTTTATGTTTGTTCTTTCGATTCCTTGTCATTTCAATTCAATGAAAGTTAAGTTTCCGCGTTTAAATTTTCTTGTCCTTTAACATTAATGCAATTTCGATTTCCGGTATATTTTCTGCTATCTTGACTCCTTGCCATTTACATTTCCGTTCTTTCGATTCCTTGTCATTTACATTTAACATACTGTTTAAGGTTTCCGCATTTTACGGGTTTCAACAATTTAGTATTCTGTATTGTTTTTCGATTCGACATTTTATTGCTTTCTGCATCTTAAATACAAAACACCAAAAAGTAGCATTTTCGATACTTGGTAAGGTTCGATCCTCATACGCATTTCGATTGAAAATTAATTTGCTAGCCTAAGTAAAAAGAACTTACGTGGTAGAATTTTGGTTAGTATCAAAACATCTTGGGGTCGAAACCAATCGAAATTCCACCGAAACACTAGTTCTTTCAAATTTTCATTTTAGAATATAACTTAATTATTAAAATTCTTAATCATAAGGGTTTAGGAGAAAGTCTTGATTTGATCAGATAAATAGATTCCAATTTTGAAGGGGCATCTACTCTGTTTCTGCCTTCCAAACGAACTGTCACGATAAATCTCAGAAAAATTTATTGTGTTTCTCTTTTAGTAGGATACATTTCTATTGAACTTTGACAAAATACAAAATAAAAAACAAAAGAAAACAAATGTTAACGAGCGTTATAATTCAAGATTCAACGTTCAACATTCATCTGAAATAAAGAAAGAAAAAAGGAAACATTATTCAATACAGCACTTCAGTTCCTTCCAGATCTTAGCTTAGGTAATAATTTATGAATTAAAGGCAAGATAAGTCATCATGGCTGATGCTAGCAGGCATAACAAACTTGATATAAAAACCAAGCAAAGATTTTCTTGAATTTGCTCTGCATTAGAATCAGATCACAAGTATTCGCAATATCATTACATCAATGGCTACTGCGTAAGAATTTAATCATTTTAATTAATATTCTAATTCTAATTCGATTATCCGAATAATCGTTTCGTTTTCTCTAACGTTGTACAGGTCTGGAAGAAATTCGTCCTCCTAAGCTTGGTGTCACCTCCGAACAACCACCCCTCTTTGATGAAACAACCAGGTTAATCAATTTATCATTAAACCATTACATTCCTATTCACTCTGCTCTCATGGGTTTTGTTTTGAGGTTCGCAACCTCGTATGTCCATATATTCTCATATTGGACTTTTGTTTCTTCTTCTTTTAGATTATACATGAGTTCCTCTTGTCCATTTGCACAACGATTGTGGATAACTAGGAACCACAAGGTTATTTTCTTTGTCGAAACTATTTGTTCACTAACTAAGTTTGGTGGATTTACAGACAATTATTACAGTAATGTTGTTTTGTAATCTTTTATCAACTATTGTTTCCACTACTATAAATAATTGTTTGAATTTTCCGTACGTTAGGGATTACAAGACAAGATCAAATTGGTTCCTGTTGACCTTCTGAACAAGCCTGCTTAGTATAAAGAGACGGTCCACCCAGAAAACAAGGTAGGAGAATTGATTAGTGATTTATATAAGCCATGAAAATTTGACTGAATTATTTGATGATTGATTATGTTCTCCTAATATAATATAGGTGCTAGCTCTTGAGCATAATGGCAGAGTTTTGGGAGAGAGTATTGACTTGATATGTAGATGCAAATTTTGAAGGACCATCACTGTTTCCCAGTGTAAGAATACACTCTCTTTCTGCTAACTCCTATTATTAGTTGATGGCACAATGATGCTAAGAATACATTTTTCAGGACCCTATAAAGAAGGAGTTTGCAGAGGAACTAATAAAGTATGTTGATACTTTTACCAAAGATGTATTTGGGTCATTCAAGGGAGATCCTATAACACAAACCAGTATGAATTAATTCTCTAAATCAAAGGATGTCATAATAAGTACAGAGTATGTGTTCCTTGTTTAAAATTGATCACTTGAATCAGGGGCTTCATTTGATTATGTGGAGAATGCACTTGGAAAATTTGATGATGGACCTTTCTTCCTTGGAGAATTTAGTTTGGTAAGTTAAAATTCATGGAGACTTGAAAATTAGATTGATTAGCAAGTCATCTTTGAGGAAATAGTCATTTGATATCTTGATGAAATTTTTATACTGCCATGGCCAGAGTTTTTCTTTCTTAAACAAATATGATGATTATCAGGCGGATATTTCCTACATTCCATTCATTGAAAGGTTCCAAATTGTCTTCTCTGAAGTGTTCAAGTATGATATCACTTTTGGAAGACCAAAACTGGCAGCATGGATTGAGGTATTTCAAAATACTCTAACGTTTTTCCTTATTCAACTTAAACATTGACAATAATATCAATAAAATTTAAAATCCATGTCTAAGATAAATCAGATTATTATTTTTATTTATTTGTTCTTGAAGTTACCCTCTTACTCTCATGAAATCCTCAGGATCCACATGTGACCACGTTTGGTAGAAGGCCACAACACAATTAACAAAGCGTGAAAATAACAAAAGCATTTGAGTTGACTGATTACTTAACATTTGTTTACAGAACTTGAACAATAAAGATGCTTATAAGCAAACTGTTCCGATTAAAGATGAAGAGTATCTCAATCTCAAGAGTATTCTTATCTCAAATATCGTTAGAATCAATTTCTACATATTATTCGATTTAAAACTCTTTCTGTGACGGTTTTGTCTTTAAATGAATTAAAAAAGAAAAATGTATTAAATTATCATTTATCTTAACTTCTAAACAACGTGACTTCGTGCTTCTCTGACACAAATAAAATTGCTTGATCTACAAGACTTTGTTGACTTAGTAAAAAACCGCTTCTTGGTATTGTATATAATACTTCGTACCTCTTTGTTAATCTGTTATCATTATGCAGGGTGAGTAAACATCATATATACAGTAGTAGATGTCCATAACATTATCACATTATCCAAATAAAGTGAGAGTGAGAGAGAGAATGTTTGAAGATTTACACTACAAATTTGCAGGCTTGTGTAATGGTTGAAATTGTAATACTATTTCTGTAAAAACGTATAATGCAGTGTGTACTATAGTAATACCTCATGTCAGTACCAATAAGTCTCATAATATCATACTTTTTTTTCAAATTTGGTTTTAGACGTTCTTTCAATTAATGAATTGAGTTAACTCTTAAAGTTACAGAAACTAAAATTAGTTATATACAATCATTCCTTGCAGGTAGGGTACAAAGAAAAAAAAAATTATATTAAAGTTCTTCTACATAATTCACTTGTTAGTTTAATAATAAAAATAATACTCTTTAAACCATTAGTATCTTATTTATTTCATAAATCATACGCTATGCATATTGTATATGTCTATAAAATAGGTTAAATTTTATTTTCTACAAGCATCTTTACTGAAAATAAAATGTTTCAGTTAAATTCATCCAATTCTTTTTCGATAAATGTTTGTGAGAAGTTTATCTAAATAAATTATACATTTTCTTTAGATGAGTTTTACACCAAAAACTTTTTAAAAAGAAAATAAGTTTAATTTAGTTTTTCTCATTTAGTAAAATTAACTTATGGACTTAATTAAATTATTTAAGTTAAGTTGTAGGAAAAATCCAAATTATTTTATATTCTTATCGTTTTCTCTTATAAAACTTTCAGATAAGTTTATTCCAATAAAATCAATATAAGAAAAATTGACTTTTATGACATTTCTTTTAAGTTATAGGAAAAATTCAAATTAAATATTTTTTACAAAAAAAGTTGGATAAGTTATTCAAATAAAACCATAGTCAAAAATAGCTTTTGATTAATTAATAGTCAATAATATAGCAATTTTTAGATTAATAATTCATTCAAATAATATATAAAAAAAAAATGCAGAGAAATGATGAAACTATTATTAACTAAATGTTCTTTCAAAATTTTCGTTTGACTGCATAGTGAGTCCACAGCAACAGTTTTATCGAAATCTCTCGGAATCAACACTGAATCTGTCTGAAACACGGATCATATCATATCATAGATTGTATTCAATGGCAGCAGCGTAAGAGTTCTTCTTCTTCCATTTATCCCTTAATACTACTTCCCATTACCGCAACGATGAAATTAATTATTAGAATCATTCATGTTTTTCTAACCAAAACTCTCTGACTGTGTTGCTGATTCAGAGGTGTTAGGATTCCACCCTTGACATCTACTTCCGAACCACCTCCTCTTTTCGATGGAACTACGAGGTTTCATTCAATAACACTCTATTTCAAGTATATCTTCTTCTCCCTTTTTAATAAGAATATAAATGATGAATCTTTGTTGGATTTTGCTTCAGACTGTACACAAGTTATACAAGCCCTTATGCACAACGTGTATGGATCGTTATGAATTATAAGGTTTCTTTTATCTCTCTGTAGCTATAAGGATTTATTATTATGTCGTTCTTTTTTCTTTTCATCAATTTCTTTCTCTTGGAGCTTGGTCCTAGAACTCTGTTTCTTTACGGAAAATGTATATATGTTTGATTCGCATGTTGCTCATACACATCATATAGGGGCTACAAGACCATATCGAACTTGTTCCCATCGATCTTCGGGACATGCCTGCATGGTATAAGGAGAAAGTCTACCCTGGAAATAAGGTGTGTAACTTAATTGGTGATGAAATTGAAAGTGTTTCGCTTTTGCTGAGTCGTTGGTTGTATAAACTTGACTGAGCTATTATTCGGTTTGTTCAATTGATCATATCAATTCTTCATTTGTTATATAGGTGCCATCTTTGGAACACAATGGCAAGGTTTTGGGAGAAAGTCTTGATTTGATAAAATATGTTGATGCCAACTTCGAAGGGCCATCTCTAGTTCCTAGTGTAAAATCAGCTGATTCTAATCTAGTTTTGTTCATTATAAAGCAGGAAAATCCTTTTTAAAATTAGGTAAATAGTGATGTTAATTTGGAGGTTTATTTTTCAGGATCCTGCAAGGAGAGAATTGGGGGAGCAGTTGATATCTCTCATTGATCCATTGATGAAGGATTTCTACGCTTCATTCAAAAGAGAAGATCCTATGCAGCAAGCTGGTAACATTTGAGAGTTTCCTGTGAGAATGATTAAAAAGAACGATAACATGACTGATTTAAATTGCTTATGTTTCTATTATTAAGGTGCTTCTTTTGATTATTTGGAGAATGCTCTTGGAAAATTTGATGACGGGCCCTTTTTTCTTGGTCAATTCAGTTTGGTAAGTTGAAATTCTAGACAGAAGATTTCAGAACTTCAAGAGTTTAATAATGGACTACTATATATACGAGTATGGGACCATCCCTTACAAACATATGAACAAATTGCTAAATTTCTGTTGTATATTTGAACATAAGAGTTTACTATTAACATGATTTATAAAACATGGTGATCACTAGGTGGATGCAGCCTATGCTCCATTTGTTGAAAGGTTACAAATTACCTTTTCTGAGGTATACAAGAATGATATCACAGCTGGGAGGCCTAAACTAGCCACATATATTGAGGTATATTTAAGTGTAAATTTCTTCTTTGGCTTGTGTATGACTCTGATATAGGAAACGAGAATTTAATGGTCTGGTCCATTTGTGCATTGCGGGTCTTCCTAAGAAGATTCATTTTCATGACACTTTTCAATCTGCAGGAGCTGAATAAAGTTGATGCTTATAAACAGACCAAGGTTGAACCGCCCCAGGAATTTGTTGAAGTTTTCAAAAAATGGCTTTTGGTAATATATACATAATCCAAGCTTTAAGCCCTTTTCCTGAGGTTGGAGCGATCTAAGCATTACACTTTCCTCAACTTGATAACCCTCTATATTTCCCTCTTTATGCAGGCACATTCATCAAAGAGCATTTGATGGGAGAAATATCAGATACAAAGAGCATCTTGTGTAATATTCTGTGTGAGGCTGTGAGCAATATGCCACAGCTGAAGTTAACTTGATTTTGTAATAATAATGATTTTGTACCTTCTTTATGTTCAAGTTTTGTAATGTTATAAGTTACTAATTCTACTATTAAATTTTATAAATGTTGTGAGGTTTTTTCTATGATTTGTTTATTAATTTTTCAAAATTTATAGAAAAAACTAAAAGAAACTGATTTAATATAAAATGTACGTATTTAAACCATTCTAGTAATATTTAGTAAATAGTGAAGTAAAAAAGAAATCTTAAATTTCGATTGATAAATTTGTTCAAAATTGAAAAAAAAAAAAATTTAAGAAACTTTTTATCCAAAATTCCCGAAGTTAATTTATTTGGTTCAACAAGTTTCACAGATAAAGGAAATAAAACAAATACATAAAAAATGTATTATATGAGATAGCTCAGAATTAGTCTAATAGATAATATATTTTAAAATAAATTACTCAAGATAAAATTTCTATTAATTTATTTATTTATTTAAATAGGTATGTTTTGTTTTCTATATTATTTAATCTTTTTTTTTGTCATTTTGTTTCTCCTCATTCTTTTTCTCTGAAGTTTTTTATTTATTTTTCTCTCCTTTCCTATTTACTTTTTTTTTTAATTAAAACTATGACATAGAAATTTAATTAATACAAATTTTTTAAAATCAATATTAAAACTAAAAAAATATCAACTAATTATTTAAAATTATGATGATGATAAATAATTTTATTTATTAAAAAAATAAATAATTTTATTTACAATAACGTAAATAATTAATTTTAAATTATTTTATCATAATGAATTAATTATTCATCTAATTAAAAATATTAAATATTTATTAGTTAAATATATTTTTATTTATTAATTTAATCTCAAGATGAGTTATGATGATGAGTTATATTAGGTAATTTACAAATTATTATTAAAAATTTACTTTAAAATAATTTAACCTTTCCTTAATAATTATAATCTAACAATTTGTAATACACCAAAATTATAATATAATATTTTTTTAAAATATAATATATTAAATTATAGTAGTTTTGAATAATTTGAATATTTTCATTTTATCAAATTTTAATTTAGTATTTTTAATTGAAAGAATAAGATGATTGGAAAAATAACAAAAGAGAAACAGAGAAAAAGAAAATAAGTATTAAGACAAAGAAAAAAATAACAAGAAGTGAATGAAGAAAAAGATAAATAAAAATAAATAAATGAAAAAAAATAATTATATTAAATAAATTTAAAGTGATTTTATTTAAGTAATTTGTTATTTTAAATATATTATTTATAAATTGATTCCAAAATACTACTAGAACTCAATCTATGTTTTATTGGAATTTTTATTTAAATAAGATATTAAAAGATGCTTTCAAAAGAAAAAGTCTTATCCACTTTACACTTTACATTACGTAAATAATGGAATGAGATTAAGAAAGTGAACTCTAATACCAAAATTAAAGAAATTTTTAACATATTAAAGGTTAATACACTACTGCAGAAAAAGCTTTTTACGTCGGTTAAAATGGGCTTTCTACGTCGGTTAAAGCGACGACATAGATACGGGGGTCATAGAAAGTAAGTCTTTCTACGTCAGTTCCTAATAACCGACGTAGAAAGTAAGACTTTCTACGTCGGTTAGTCAGGGAATCGACGTAGAAAGACTTACTTTCTATGAGCTATCATAATCGGTCATAACTGATTCTGACCTGTCATATTACTTTCTATGTCGGTTAAAACTGATAACCGACGTAAAAAGTAAGACTTTCTACGTCGGTTAGTCAGGGAACCGACGTAGAAAGGCTTACTTTCTATGAGCTATTCTGATCGGTCATAACTGGTTCTGATCGTTCATAGGGTATTCTGATCGATTATAACAAATTCTGACCTGTCATATTACTTTTTAACTTTCTATAACCCAAGTATCTATATCGGTTAACAGTAACCGTGATTGTATGTGTTATCAATGTTGGTTATGCCTATAACCGACATAAAATGTTAAACTTTCTACGTCGGTTATGTCATTAACCGACGTAGAAAGTACTTTCTACGTCGGGTAATGACATAACCGACGTAGAAAGTGTTATTTTTTTAAAAAAAATCTGCATTTTCTTCACAGATGCTACCTTTCTTCGAGTAGACTTGCCTATTCATCACAGTTTCAGACAAATATTCACAGATCCAAACACTTGTACAGACAGATATGCACAGTTCATATATAGTTCCAGACAGATATGTACATATGAAACATATTGAAATCAATATATGTACCTCAGTTCCAGACAGTTCATTTACTTAAACGAATGTAAATTTGCTAACTTAAATCAATTCAATCAAAATTGTTACAAGTCAAATTTGCTATGAAGATTGAATACTTAGAAGGAAAGAAGTCCACTGCTCTCTAATATCGTCTAACACTTCAATCTTCATTGGAGATGAGTCTGTAAATGCCTACATATTGAAACATTTCAGATTTAGAAACCATTTACATAATTGGCATATTTGACTTAATTATAGTATATTTACCTCCCTCCATGAGCCCATAATATTTTTGGCTACGATGGTGTGCATGTGCTTCATCACATAATACCCGCACTCATGGCTTCCCGGTTGGCGTGGACACTACAAGTTAAATACATGTCAGTTTAACTTTAAATGACAAATTGAACAACAATAAGAGGTGTTTGGTCACCTTTGGTGCAATATACGTCAACTTCTTTCTAGCATGAGATGGAAGGTCTTGCAACCTTAGGTGAGCTTCCAAAGCTCTACAAAAGGACAAATAATTTTGGTGTAAGTGCACATATGATACAACAATTAAAAAATCAATTAAAAAAAACAAACTTACGTGTCTATGTGCTTTCTAATATCCAAATCATTTGGTTTCTTGTGTAATGAACACAAGAGAATCACAACAAATTGCCGAGGAACAATGATTATGAGCTGCCAATGACCCCTGCACGTTGAAATAATATTAGTAAAATTTCAGTTTTACATAAATGTTCATTAATTTATAAGATGTATACTTACTGATGCAAGTAAGGTGCTAAGTAGACTTCTTTGCCCCCATTTTGAAATGTCTCTATTAAGTACGTTTGCACCTCTTCGACTTTATTCCCAATTGATTGAATGGCAACGAGGTCAACAAATCCATAGATAAAGGCAATCTTCCTCTCAACACACAAACGATGTAAATACCTTCAACATTGAAAATAAATAAAGTTATAAAATAATGTACCAGTGAGAATATAAAAAATATGTAAATATACTTACAATTCCCAAAGTTGCAACACTGATACACATAGCATATCGAGTACCAGCGAGAAGATCAAAAATATCCCTTTGGAGTAAGAAAAAAGGGATCGTCCGGGTCCTGCATACGACTTCGGGTGGCATATCTAGCTGTATGGGAGTGGTCCAGATAGTCGTTGCTAGTGCACCGAGTCGCTGTAAAGCGATCGGTGGTGGTGGTGATTCATGCACAACTTCCTTTGCTTTTTCAGCCTCTTTCTATACAAGTACCAAAAATAAATAACATTAATATACATCAACCTATCAAAAAATAATAAGTAAAAGGGATAAATGCATGACACAACACTGTGAATATGTTGGGATGGGTCTTGTTAATGAAGCTGGCCATAAGATAAAATTTCTAGGTGCACTGTCCCATTGTTTGAACCTCTTCGGTGGGAATAGGGATTGAGGCGACGGCATCCGGACATCTACAACCACCACTCTTATCATATCATGTCCAATACTCCGGTGGTGGATGGTTGACCCCAATGCATACATTTTCCCTAAGGTAAACAAATGATAAAATATTTTAGACTATATAATGCTTAACAATGTACCAAATACATGTCAAAGATATATTACGTACCGTATGCCACCAAATGCTCGGGAGGACCCGCAACATACAACTCACAGTCAGCAGTGTCAGTAGGAGCAACCTCTGCCCCTCTATCAGGAGCATCACAACTCTCCTTTGTACTGACATGAATCGGGGATGCCTCTCGGGCGGGGACGGAAGGTTGAGAGGACAAAGATGCCAACTCGCTCGCATTGAGCTCAATAACTGCTGCCTTCAAGTCGAGTACACCTCATCTCGAATCTCCTTCCTAATTTGTTGTTTGAGGGACTCAAACTCCAACTCACTCAGCTGCCTCAAAGTAGGAGTTTCAACGGGTGGGGCACCAAAGTACTGTTTGATGCCCACCCCTCGTCCAGCAGCACAAACACGTCCAGGATGCTATGGGGTACCAATGGCCACTGCCAATATATCCTGACGGCCATGTGGGTGGAATGATCCCTGAGTGCTCTGCTCAACCAACTCATCCTACAACACAAAGGAAGGATTTTTTAGCAAATACATATGCTTATTGTAGTATACCATATATAATTAGTTTAGGATATGCTACTTACAATACGTTGAGCTACAACATTAGTTTGCTCAGATAAGTAATTCCCTGATGAGTTCTGGCGAGCTCTCTTCCATTTATCATGGCGTGAAGGGCGAGTGACAACACTCACAACCGACTCATCTGAAGGATGACTTGAAGATGTCTCCTTCATCATCTTCTCCTCCAATTTCTCATAACCCCCACGAGACAACCTGTGGGGGTGGATATTCTTTCTCTGAATATCCTGTGCCTTCTGTCGCTTGGCCTGTTGCATTCCATGTTAAATACCGGATTTAAAACCTCTATTTAAAAAAAATGACTGCAAACAAATGACAAATGTGCTAACCTGAAACTTAGCGTCTAAACGCTGAGTCCGAAATGCCTGCCATGTCTCCTCATCCAAAAGCGATACTTGGTCACATGGGTTCTTGTTGCTCAATGCCCCATATATGTATCGACTAGTCGAGATCACTCTTAAAACCTCTCCAGCGTTCCCCGAGCATATGAGATCCACTTTGTCCTCAACAAAGTGGTGTTAGGGAC